AAGCCACTAACTTTTTTTTTTTTTTTTTGAATTCTTGGTATCCTAGAGGACTTGTTGGGTGTGTTACAGTAGAGTCTTACAAGTCAGAGCAGCTTTCAGTTCAGATTGTGGGTTAGCGAGGATACTTTAGAGACCCTTGCCTTAATTTGCAGGTGGTCTTGGCTTTGTCTTACTGTTGCTTTTACCTCTTTTGGTCATGTGGCAGACTAAATCTGCACTTACATATCCCTCCCAGGCACAGGGAGTTTCTATCCTAAGGTAATTTATTAGTTAAAGTTGATAAAATGCCCCATTTAATTCAGATTTCTCTTCCTTTGCTTTTGTGTTTTGATAAATAGAAGAGATGAATTGGGCAAAAAAGCTGCTGTCTTTTTAAATAATTTAAATATTCAACTTGATAGAAGCCTTATGTATCAGGAAAAATATGTTCTTATTTGTTCAAGAGAATTATAATGACTATTTTGTAGCTTAGTAACAGTTATTATGATAATGTTGAAGATTTGTTTCTTCCATCTACTTTTACATATTGTTATCATTTTAACTAAACACTCTGTTTAACTTGTGTTTGCTTTCTTACTTAGGAGTCTGATGTAGCTTATATCCCGACAAGTGGTCTTGGAGGTGAAAACCTGGTTACAAAATGTGAATCAAGTGAACTCACTAAATGGTATAAGGGGAAATGTTTGCTAGAGCAAATTGGTAAGTGTGCCGTTCTACTGATTTAAATAGTATAGTTGATTACATAACTGTGAATTTTTGAGATGGTCGTTTGTATTATTAAATGCAGAAATTTTTGTCTTATTATTCCTTTTCAGATTATTTCAAGCCACCACAGAGATCAGTGGAAAAACCATTCAGATTATGTGTTTCTGATGTCTTTAAAGGTTGGTTCTCTTATTTATATAGTTTATTTTTACTAATCATTTCAAAGATATATCTTAAGACATGAATTAATTTGTATGTATATCTTAAAATAATTCTAAGTCAGTGTAAAATAACATTTTTACAACCATGTTTTAAAATCTGACTTTAAAGTGCTTAGAGACATCTATTCAATACTACCTACCTGTATTAAGTTTTTCACAGTGTTCTTAGTGGTCGTTAGTAAGTGGTGTTATCTGGATTTTACTGATGGAAGAACTCAGGCAAAAATTAAGTAACTTGCTAATGGCTATGCAGTGAGTGGATACAGTGCATACAGTGGAACTTGGGAATTTCCTGATCCCAATCCATTTGCTGAGTTGCTAGCATGATCTGACATTTAATATTCTACCTGGCAGAGGAACATTAATTTTATTCAAACATCATCAGTTTTATTACTCTCAAAATGTATTTTTAAAGAAACTTGCCATGTATGCGTGTTGTAATTGTACTTGAACCCAGCTAGATCGTGTAGTAAGCTGGGTATCAGGTTACACAGATAGAGCTCCTGTGTACGAATATAGAACTGCTGTTTCAGAGTGGTTAGTTGCACGTTTAAATATCACTTGAACCCTCACACAGATTTCTTTGCATGCATGCCAACTGGTTCTAAACACAAAACTTGTATAATTTTTGGCACTTAGTGTGCTGGTGGGGTGGGGCGTCTACATGCTTTCTCCCCTTGTCTGAGCTGTTGGCAATATGACTTCTGTCAGTTGACCAACCCAGTAACTCATCTGTAAATTATGCTAATGCATAAATAACTGGGTATCCAGCAATAGTAGTAATGAATACAAAACAAGGAAATGGCGGGTCTTGACTCAAAATTAATATAACATCTGCAATAGCTTTTCATGCTAAATGTTAGTAAACCAGCTGTCAGCTGACTTTCTAGGAGTAAAAGAAACACAGAGAGAGCTTTCAGAATTTCCAGTTCATTGGACAATAAACCAACAAGAACCACATCCACGACTGCAATTTTTAAGGATTTTTTTGAGACATCTCAGCATATGCAAGGTTGTTTTTTAGGTTTTTTTTTTTTTACTGTAAATTGTAAAGAAGGGGAGGGAGAATGGTACAAACTTGTATAAAATTGTATAGGTTAACCCTTCTATTTATTGAAAACTAATAATTGGTTTGTTTAGCAACTACATTTGTTTTCAAGTGGAGAGTTTCAGCTCATATTTCAGAAAATAATCAGATTAGGAGTTTTGGAATTAATATTTTGTTTTCATTATGATGTAGAGCTGGCTGCCTTTCAAATACTGAATACTTACTTACTGGGAAAAATGCATTTTATCACATTAAAAATCTGCTTGTATGCTGCTAATAGGTCAGCTTACCAAAAAAGAAAAATAAAGACTGCCTTTTAACATGCACTTATCTATCTGTTGTTTTAATTTGTTGCCTTGTTCTTTACAGACCAAGGATCAGGATTTTGTGTAACTGGTAAAATAGAAGCAGGCTATATTCAGGTTGGAGAGAGACTTCTGGCAATGCCTCCCAATGAAACTTGCACTGCAAAAGGTATAGTCTTCAAAGGCTTGTTTACTTTCAGGTCAATACTGAGCTAGAAGCAGTTGCTGAAATGGTAACAGATATTCAAACTGATACTAACTGTCAAACATAAAATGTGAAAGCATAAAACGAATTTCTTTAGATGTGACTGTATTTGTATAACTATCTATCTTTGAAAGACTTGCGAAATGTTGCAACCCTTACAGATCAATTTTAACTTGTAAAGCTTTTTCATGCTCTGTTGGCCATGCTAAGCAGTTACTTGAAAGACGTTCCAGTGACAGTTACGGGGTGCCAGTAGAACTGGGCTCCATGCAGTAGAAACTCAAATATTGTTTTGCAGTTTAAAAAACAAATTAATAAATCAGTAATAACCTGAATTCTTTCTTTCAAAGAAGGCCAACAAAGAGGATAGGTACAATGTGCTGGAAATAATTTGTTTCAGTAAATTTGTGAAAAGGTCATATTCTTTCCAGTATAGGGTGCACTGGTTAAGGTGAGATATTTCTTCTAAAAATAATCTGATTCTTAAATCAGAGTAAAAAAGAAAAGTCAAAAGAGTTCTGTGCACCACAGATTTTGTCCTTGTAAGTGCATCTTTTTTGATGTCTTATTTTTTTTATCTTAAGTTTAGAGTCAGAAAATTTGAATCAGTTTTAAATTCAGGGAAAAGTGTGTGTGTGTGAGAAAATATTCAGCTAATTAATGTCTAGTACATTTAAAGTGCTAAGGAGTAAATGCTTGTCTCTTAAATGGATAAAAGTGAAAGCATGAGTCTGTCACAGCTTAGAACGAATCCATTCAGGAGCTTCGTAGAGTTTTCAGTAGTAAAGGTCATAGAAGTAGGAGCTGGATATGTTTTAAAAAATGAGTAAGGAGATTTTCAGACCCATCATCTTATGTTTCATACAACTCGTACGTACCCTTGAGGTTTGCCACGATTATAGATTGGAGGTGAAGAATATAAGTAGGTGATAGGGGTATACAAAAGTGGCAGCAAGCAGTGATTTTTTTTGCATCCTCAGTCCTCTCTTGGATCCCTGGTTTAACTGAGAGCAAAAGGGAACGTTACAGTAGTAATGATAAGCAGGCTACAGGGCTACCCTGGCCACACCTCTACACTAGTTATAGGAGCGGAAGGAGTGGCATAGATACGGTTACCCTCGTTGCACGTCACCTGAGAATCCCCCAGAGTACAGTCAGAGTTGGAGCATCATGTAGTGGCTTAAGTGTAGCTGGAGTTGTTAACTATTTCACATGAGGAGAAAACAGTTTATCTTCCAATACAAACAAGGGATATGCTAACTTTTGGCCATTATGCGACCAACGTACCACTTTCAACAAAAAAAATTGAACTTCATTTATTATTTTATGGCAGTGTCACCTCCTATGTGCAGTAATTTTCAGCATTACTTAACAAATACTGCTTTTTTTCATGACTGACATTTGAATTTAAATGATACTAGGGACAGCCTGGTGCATGGTGATAGGGAGACAAAACAATAAATACAGATTTGGGACGTGCTAACATGAATCGCATTTTATTTATTAAGCTCTACAACAAAATGCAGCAGGATTTGTGATATGGGCAATATTAAAAAAAACAAACCCTCAAAAACCGACGTTTGCTAAGATCTCTTTCTCCTTCTGATATCAGCCAAGAACATCACAATGATAAAGAAGGAAGAATTTTTGTTTTATCCTTGCCCAAGTGTCTACACCTGATTGTCTCAAACTTACTTAAAATACATTACAAACCAATGCTTATTTAGATGCTTTCTAATAGACGCTACATTGCTGCAAATGAGAGACGTTTGTTGCGCTCTTCTGTGAAAGAGAGCAAACCCACTGAAGGTAAATGAAAGTTGACAGAAGTACCAATAAGAAACATGAAAGGTGCGGTGTAGGGTATGTCTGTGCATCACAGGATGGGTGTGGCAAGGATTGTGATATTAGTACTTAGTGGTATTTTCAAGAACGCGTCATCTGCGCTGTGTGATTGGTACTGAGTCCACTCCCATGAGTTAGACAAAGCCATATTAATACGCAAGGTGGTTTGAAAGATTGCTGAGTCCCAGTCAAAAAAAAATGTTTCCTTTTGTGTTCTTAGCTGAAAAGCTTTTACTATCAGTCCATTCATACTGAAAAGTGATGAGTAATGGTTGATGAAGCACAAATGTCTCAAGCAGAACTGTTTGTTTGTAACTCGGAACCTAGGTACTTCACTCTGGGGTTCTGTTCTTACTCATTTCCAGGAATCACACTGCATGATGAACCAGTTGATTGGGCTGCAGCAGGAGATCACGTTAGTCTCACTTTGACCGGCATGGATATCATCAAAATCAAGTGAGTGCAAAATGAAGTTTCGGTGTAAGTAACGGTTTGTTTTTAATGAAAAACCATGTAACTATTACTCTTCACAATCAGCGGTTTACTTGAAGAATGATTTGGCTACCAGGATATTTAAAACCAAAGTGATGCATATCACCTGGCTTGCATGTGCATACGTTGGAAACATCTGCTTTATGTGCAACGGCAGTCTCAGAATACTGTTAGAGTTCATGATCAATTGACCTTCATGCTTTCGGGGTAACTTTAAAAACCCATTTCCTTAGAAGGTCTTTTCCTAATTTTTACATAGAATTACAGAGCATGCTCTAAGGTATTATTAATAATTTTACATAAAATGTTTATCAAGAATTCATCAAGCTGTAAATCATACAGATGGCAAAGTAAATCTGAACAAATAATAGCACATACCAGCATCTTACTATTAACTACAGGTTAACAAACTATTTGCAGTAAACAATTCTTTCAACAAGTGTGCCCCTTTTTCTGTTTGTACACATGTTTAAAAAACATGTAATTTCTTTTTTTAAAAAAGTTAAGCTGTTCAGACTTATTTAGCATATGGCTGGTGCAGTCAGTTTATAGAATTCATACACAGTGTATGCCTCGGTCTTGGAGTGAAGTATTGGCTAGCTGTACATTGTGATTTATGCTAATTAATCAGATAGAAAATTCTTACAGTTTCTTTTTGGCATCCTAATTGGACCACTGAACTAGAGCTTTCAAGTTGGTTGCCAAATTGCTCCGCACGTCAAAACTTGTGCCAGTTTATATTCTGCCCTGGATGGACAAAACAGAGTTCTTTTGACTTCCTTGTTACAGGATGTATATCTACAGAAAATCCTTGTGCTACTGTAATGGAGACTGAGTGGGTTTTACACAGTGGTATCTGACTGCTTTTTTCTTCCCTTTTTTAGTGTGGGCTGTGTATTTTGTGATCCCAAGGAACCCATCAGAGTCTGCACACGTTTCAGAGCTCGGGTCCTCATCTTTAATATTGAGGTCCCACTTACTAAAGGATTCCCTGTAAGTTTCGTGATACTCTTCTGTTTTAACATTCTTGTATTCTCCTTTAGTGGCTTAGTATGTTTCTGTATATAAAAAGGAATGTCACATTCATGAAAAAGGGGACACACTTGAAACACCTGATTCTTCTGTAGCTTAAAGAGGGTGCAAAGTTGCATCTTTGGAAGCACATGTCTGCTCTTGCAGGCTTCTGGTTTGATGTAATGTCTGCATATGGAGTTCACTTAAGGAGTTAAGCCAGCTTTTTATTAAAAAGACTCTGGAGGCAGTGTATGTAGGGGTTCGGCAATGCAACTGGTTTTCAGTTATTTGAAAAATTCAGCATATGCTACAGGATTGCACTGATGTAGTGCAGACAGTAAGCAAAAGGCATAAATAATTAGTATATATTTGTAACATATGGAAGACTGCAGACTTTGAGAGATCTATGCTTATTGTGTCCACAAAAATAACAGGGAGTCTGGGGTGTGGTTTTTCTAGGTGATAAACAGTGCTTTTTGAATTGAAGAAATGGGGGGCTGAACACAAGCTGGATTCCTCACTGAGGAGTGCTTTGAGCCTCTGCCTGCAAATACAGTAAATGATTTGTGTTTCTAATTCAAGCTGTTTTTGAGCCACTTCCTTACTTTGGCCTGTGCATCAATACAAAGGATTTTTCAGAAGTCACACTTTGGATCTAAAGACTTTTCTGGGTGCTAGCAAGTAGGGTTGTAGTTGAAGATGTAGGTCGCTGGTTGAAATAATAAACTTCTGTTGTTTTAGGTGCTTTTACACTATCAAACCATAAGTGAGCCAGCCACTATCAGGAGATTATTGAGTGTCCTTCACAAGAATACTGGCGAAGTCACAAAGAAAAAACCTAAGTAAGTATTTTGAGGTAACTAGAAGTTTGACAGACGTGCACTGGGTAATCTAAAGCAGATTGGATGAGACTCTATTATGAAACAAGTTCTCTGTTTAAGGATATAATAATAATATGCTTATATCTTATATATACATTTTCAGCTATAGGTTATATAAAGCAAGAAGAATATCATCCCTATTTTACACAATGTGACACAGAGATAAAGCAAGTTGTCAGAGGTCACATAGCGAATTATTAGCAAAACCAGGAATAATTTTCAGTTTCTGGTCAAGTCTTTATGAAATAGACCAAACAAGGTGATGTCTATATTGTGGCTTTGACACTGGCTGTTTAAAGCCACATTTAGGCCCCCTCAGGCCCCAGGGGAGGCGCACCTAAGCCAAGGGTCAGTGAGGATCTAGTCACAGAACTTCTGGAGGGTCTGGATGTATTTAAATCAGCTGGTCTGGACGATCTCCACCCTAGAATACTGAGGGAATTAGCTGAGGTCATTGCAGGACCCCGGCACATCTTTATGAGCACTCATGGTGCTCTGGTGTGGTGCCAGAGGACTGGAAGAGGGCCAGTGTGGTTCCCATCTTCAAAAAAGGAAGGAAGGTGGACCCAGGAAACTACAGGCCAATTAGTCTTACCTCGATCCTGGGTAAGCTTTTTGAGAGAATTATCCTGGTACATGTCCACGAGGGGCCAGCAGGGGAGGTTATGCTTAAGGGCAACCAACATGGGTTCATTAGAGGCAGGTCCTGTCAGACCAACCTGGTCACAAAATCCTTAGATGCAGGGGTAGCAGCGGACGTGGTCTTTCTGGACTTTAGGAAGGCCTTTGACACTGTCTCTCACCCCATTCTCATTAAAAAAACTGGGGGACTGTGGTGTCGACACCTACACAGTCAATTGGGTCGCCAACTGGCTGGAGGACCACACCCAGAAAGTGGTGGTGGATGGGTCATTTTTGACCTGG